ATCAACTACCTTTGAGGCAATTATTAGCGATCATTCATCATTCATCACTTACAAGGCCTTGACTATTCTATTATTTTTATAACTCCTCTCCCTCTTCTTTTTTTCATCCCTGGGCCCCTCCCTAAACTACCTTATTTTTTTCACTGGAGAGACGGCCTTGTTGGAAGTGTGCCCTGCTCTGCCCGAGGTCCTGTGCAGCTCCTTTGTGCTAAACACACGAGGCCCTTAGCAGTGATACCCTTCTCCTGAGCAGTAGGACGTTACGTGCCCTCCCCGCTTCCCAGTCTGTGCTGAGGGCAGGTGCTGCATCTTGCCCACCCACCTGCTGGCCCTAAATAATTATTGGAAGAACTTGCTTGCTCAATGATTCAGTGAATGGATTGCTGATATGAAAATATTTTGACACAATTCCTCCTACATGCAATACACCTTTGCCAATTTTTTTTTTAAGATTTATTTATTTGTGCATACAGAAGTGGGGTATAGGCTAGAGGTGCAGGGGCGGTGAGAGGCTTCAACGGAGACAGAGCGGGGAGCAGAACAGGCAGATGGATGAAGTACACTGCTGAGGGGAGCAGCGGGCGGGTCAGGGGAAGTCTGCCTGCCATATTTTTGAATCTCTCCTTACACCGCAGCCCCCCTCACTGGTTTCAGGACTCACCTGCCTGAGTTCAGTGTTGAAAGGTAGGAAGCCATGATTCCCTGGGTGGCTCAGTCTCCATGGGAAAGTAGGGGGAGTTCAGAGAAGAAAAACCTGGATGGAATCTGAGTGTCCCAGTTAGTGTGCTAGCAGTAAGGGCAGGCTGCCGAGGCTTTCTGAGACTCAGTTTCCTCATTTAAAAATGTGGCCGTCTGTTCAGGTTGTGGCAAGACTTGAAGACGCACGGCACTGGTGCATCATGTACACGTCTAAGTTGCTGATCTCTCTTCTCCCTTCTTCTCTTTCTCTTCCTTTTGTCCACTTCTAGCTTCTTTTCCGTTGTCGTATCACATAATCATTACCATCATTTTTGTGTCTACCCAGATTTATTCCAACTAAAGTTACCTTGTTACCTCACATGCATCAAGTAGAAGCTGCTGCAACAGAACTCAAGATAATGCGTTTTCCACACAGCCTGAATTGGATCCTGCTCCCAGAGCTTACCTGAAAAGCTTGTGGTGCCGACCTGGCCTGTCCAGAGGGTCTGGCTCACTGGTAGAGGAAGGTGATGGCCCCAGCCTCCTCATGGCCACTTCCCCAGAGTCTGGCTCAGACTCAGAGGCTACTCTTGGGGGAGCCCTCGGAGCAACTAGCCCAACACTTCACCCCTGGAGACTCAAAGTTTGCATCTTCCTCACCCCAGATTGCCCGCACACCGTGGTTCCCTGCCTTCAACACAACTCAGGCGCACCCCATCAGGGTGTGTATGGGGGGGCGCCCAGGGAGGGATGGGCACTCCCCTCGGGGTTGACCTCCAAAGAAGTAATTAATCAGTAATTATAACTGGCCTCCAGTACGATTCTGCTTCCTTAAGTAAATTCTTTAATTGTCTTTTCTATCGTAACTCCAACTTTGGAAAGTATTTTTTCAAGTTTTCTTAAGACTATTTGCATTTTTCACTGAATATCTTTTCAACCTTTGTTTTTAATTTTAGGGCAATTCAACCCCCCTATTTAGGATAACCGAGTTTGGGCTACTCCTTGGCCCTGTTTAGCTTTGGTGGTGAAATACATATTTTAGCAATCCTATTTCCTATGTTTTCTTAGTGTCTTAAAGTGTCTTATAGATAAAAGTGTACACTTACAGATTGGTTTGCTGGAAAATTTTGAATTTGCTGAATATAAATAGTGTTAATTTATGTGCTGTTTGGCATAAATTTGCAGAATGAGTTCAAGTCGTCCTAACTTCAAGTATACAAGGCAAAATTAATTAGCATGACCTGTTGGCGTTTATTTCAAACATAAAACCTAGAGCATGCACATGTGAAATACATAATGGATTTCTCCACCAGTTAATGTAATCATGTCTGGGTGATGAGGCATTTATAAAAACAGAACTAGGGAGAGGGGGTTCGCGGGGGCCTCGGGGGAGCCGGAGGAAGAACCAGGGCAAGCCTTGTGTTTTGACTGGGAAGGCATAATTGGTAGTATGATTTCCTCAGGACCGAGGAACACAGCTAATGCCAGACTTATGCTCCTGTTTCTGTACCTAAATTTGTCACAGCTTTTTCGCTGACGACTTAAGCTGCCATAACAAAATTCTGTAGTCTGGGGGGGCTGAAACAACAGAAAAGATTTCCTCACAATCTGGAGGCTGGCAAATTGAGATTCAGGGGCTGACTGGCTTGGTTTCTGATGGAAGCTCCCCTTTCTGACTCATAGAGGGTCCTGCTGTGTGGAGAGGGAGTGAGCCAGCTGGCCCCTGGGCTCCTGAGAGGGCCTTGATGCCCTCATGACGGCCCTCACATCTAACCTCACCCAACCCTACGGCTCCCACGTGCACATCACTTGCTGGGTAGGGCTCCGACAAATGGCTGTGGGTGCACACACCATTCCGCCCCAACATCAGGTAGCCCGCATGGCAAACAGGTTAGCATTCACTGCCCTTCAAGGAGCAACCTTTTAATCAACTGTTAGTCATTTGAACCCAGGTACCAAGAAGCAGCTGAGAGTGAGCTTTTTTTAAAGATTTATTTATTTATGCATACAGAATTGGGGTACAGGCCAGAGGTGCAAGGGCAGTGAGAGGATTCACCAGAGACAGAGTGGGGAGCAGAATAGGTAGATAGATGAATTACACTGCTGAGGGGAGCAGCGGGGAGACAGGAGAGGTCTGCTGCACCATGTGGGTCACCTCTGGGGTGGGGATCGAACCTGCACTGAAGCCACCATGGCTTGGCTTAGCTCCGCAGTGCAGCGTTCCAGCCGGCTGCACCAACAGGGAGGGTCCGAGCAGTACTTCTAAGGGATCTGGCTGAATTTCCTCTCCATTACCTTCAAAGGTGCATGGTTTACATGCTAAAGGTTTTTTGATGTTTCTGTTTCTGTTCAAAAGACAGGAACAGTGTTCTTCGAGATTATCATTCCCCTAAATATGTGACACTTGTGGGCTCCTTGCTGTTTCGTTCAGTGACTTCTGTGTTCAGTTTCTGGAAGAATAGGCAAAGATGATTGATTTCCAATTCAACGCACACTGTCCATTCTGCTCGTGACCCTGCTCCTTTCGCTGCCTGGAAAGGCGACTTAGGCGTTTGGGACACCTTTCCTCCCTTACACACTTACCTCGAATAGTTACCACTTCTCTGCGCTACTGGGGGTGTAAAGGGAAATGAACTTTAGCCCTGATGGGAGAGAGTCTATTCTTATTCCTAGGCCATAAGATGAGGGGTGCTTTCAAGCCTAATGTATAAGACTTGGGAAGGAAGGGAATGGGGTGTGCTTGCTGATATCCCAGGGAAAACAACGTAGGAGGCAATATGGAGAAGCAAGCCTTCTCTTTTCCTCTAAACCATCCTTTGTCCCTTAAGTAAAAAGGCCAAGGAGACTTCAGAGCCTTCAGAGAAACTAAAATCTACCCTTCAGGCAAGAATTAGTATCTCTCTCCTATAGTTCTCAAATAGCTACCATCATGTATTTAATATACATGATGGTAGTTTTTTTTACCACTTTTTACAACTTTTTATTTCTGTGGCTGTCTTCTGTACTACTATGTGAGCTACTCAAGATTTTTCATGCATTTAAAATTTTATTTTAGTCTTTATATTAATGTGTATAAAACCATAGCACTTGGCATTTTTAGGCATTTATTGATAACGAAGCTTTGAGAATAAGTGCAACGAGTGAAAGTTTTTTTTTTTTTTTAAAGATTTACTTATTTGTGCATACCGAACTGGGGTACAGGTCAGAGGCACAGGGGCAGCGAGAGGCTTCACCAGAGACAGAGTGGGGAGCAGAACAGGCAGATCAACGAAGTACACTGCTGAGGGGAGCAGCGGGCGGGTCAGGAGAGGTCTGCCACGCCATGTGGTCACCTCCGGGGCAGACGGGAATCGAACTCATGCGGAAGTGGCTTTTAGCTTCTTAGTGCTGTGCTTTAACCCGCTGCGCCACCAGGGAGGGCCACGAGTGAAAGATTTAAAAAAAAAAAAAACAAAACCAACCTTCAGTGCACACCATTGTCATCTCATCTGCGAGGGTTGACTTGGTTAATTCATTTGAAATTTTCTGTTACATTGTGAATTTAATGGTGTAATTACACTTTGAAAATCAGAACCAAGCACACACTTTCAAAGTATTGAGGAGACTACTTTTCCCTCTTTCCGGACTCAGAGGGTCCGCCCTCAGGCAGAAGCTTCTTCCTGTTGGAGAAAGTGTGGGCCACTTGCTGTATCCAGTAGACTCAGATGCCCCTCACAATGTCTCCCTGTTTCCCGAAGCCCTGCATTTTCACTGACCATCCTTAAAATCAGCTGGAATGTTAAGCTGTGAACCTTCTAGTCGTTTTCTTTTTAATATTTCATGTCTGTGTAGTCTGGGGTTGGCCGCCAGATACCCACGTGCCTCGAAGAGCTCGCGTCTCGGAGCTGGGAAACTGCACCAAACCCGCAGATAAAGCCCCTTGCTCGGAGCCAAGGAGCAGGTGTTCGGAATCTTGGTTCTTTCATTCCTCTCTGCTACACTGGTTCGGGCAAATACAGGAGCAAACGGTCAGCTGGCTGTGAGCAGCCGCCCTGTCCTGCCAGTGTGCTGTTTGCACGCGCCACACTTCATTTCACACAAGATAATGAAATGAAGGCCAGGAGGCAGGGACCGCATGGATTGTGCAAGCAGAGATAATAACAACTACAGAAACAGCTTGAGAGAGCATGAAGGAGGTGTAGGGAGAAGGTGGTGATTTTTTTAATTGAAATATATATGCAAACAATATTTATGCGATTGTTTTGAACCATGAGAAACACATTTTCGGCAATATAGCCAAGTCAGATGCGTCACTTTGACTTTCCTCTGTCCTTCCCCCACAGCCATCCCTCTGGGCATTCTCGTTGTACGTGGAGACTGTGACTTGGAGACGTGTCGTATGTACATAGATCGTTTGCAGGAGGTGAGTTTTCTTCGCTGTCTTGCTTCATTTTTTGTATTTTGTAAACAATTACCAGCCATATAGATTTGCTTCTGAAATGATGCATTTGGGAAGGAAATGGAAGCATTTTAAGTACACACCCCATCTTCGCCCCACACCCCTGCTGCTGTTTTTCTTCCTTAAGGGTTGAAATGGGAAAACAGGATGGTGTTCTAGAATGTTCCAAAAAGACTTGGAACTTCTTGTTTTCTTGCCAGACTATCTATCTATCATCTACCTGTCTATATTTTTTTTTTAGAATTTCAAAGGGCCCTGAAAATAATGAAGGAAAACAGAGATTTGGAGTTACGTAATGTTTTGTATCTAGTCGGATTTTTATTTTAAATACAACTTTTATAGCAAAGAAAAACTTTCTGTATTTCATAGGAATTGTCAGAACAAAGGAGCACTGCTCTATGATTACTTTTTCAATCTAAGCGTACCCTAGAGGAAAGGAAGAGGTCCCCTGTATGACGCTGCCATCAATTTAAGCATCCCCAACAGAGCCAGGAGACCCACTGCCACTATGTATACAGTGTTGTGGATTGTTTCAACAAAATTTTACTTGTCCACACATGGCAAAATGCTTCAGTAGTTACTTCATTAGGACATTATTATGTCCTCATGAAAGATGCCCGTGAACTCCAGTTTCCTTGGATAGGCCTAGAAATTTTTTTTTTTTTTTTTAAGATTTATTTGTGCATACAGAACTGGGGTGCAGGCCAGAGGCTCAGGGGAGGTGAGAGGATTCACCAGAGACAGAGTGGGGAGCAGAACAGGCAGACCGACGAAGTACACTGCTGAGGGGAGCAGCAGGCGGGTCAGGAGAGGTCTGCCACGCCATGTGGTCACCTCCGGGGCAGGTGGGAATCGAACTCATGTGCAAGTGGCTTTTAGCTTCTCAGTGCTGCGCTTTAACCCACTGCGCCGCCAGGGAGGGCCAAAATTTGTATTCTTAAAGCTGCTGGGCAGTTTTGTTAGATACCCCAAGATAAGCCACCATCTTCCAGACACATTACACCTCAGGAAATATCACAAAGAAGGTACATAGTGTTTAAAATCACTTCAAGCTGTAGCCCTTCGACTCTACTCTTGATGGAAATACTTACAGGTAAGAGGCATAAAGACCTGGGAAAAATGATCAGTTTTCCTCTTTAGTGCCATTAAGAATCAAAATGGGACTGTGAATTCAAAGTACCTTGAGATAGATGCCAGATTTTGAATACATGGTGAGAGATGAATAGACACATCATATAGTGACTTATTTCAGCTGTTTTTTACCAGGAATAAATTTAAACTTTAAAATTTGTGAACATTTTAGCATGTGGCTCAGGTCCAAATCAGTACTCCTAGAACACACATACAGTATCTCATTTTTCAAAAGAATGTCAGTCCTTTGTTGTACAGCTCACTCAACACACATACCTTAAAACAAGTGAATTATAACTGGCGCCAAACTGTTTATTCTATATAATGCTTGGTGAATTCAGGATTTTGCAGTACAAAATAACATGATCGATGAACTGACTTGGTTAGGCGTGCCAGTAAGTTGGTTTTCATCACACCCATTTTTTTCTATTTAAAAAATAGAAATAGCAAACTCTAATAAACACGAAAAGTTTTAACACTAATTAGGCACAGAGATTAAGTTGATAAAGCCCTCTGGGAAGAAGGTACAAGGGCAGACGAGCTGACATCTGCAGACAGAATCTGTGTACTCATTACTGAAGAAGCCTGCAGGGGCATGACAGTGAGGACAGGTTAGTTAGAAACCTTCACAAAGGTAGCCAGGCTCGCACAGCCTGGCTGGTGCAACCTCATTAGTTTCAACTTTGTGATAATGGCATGGTGGCCAGTGATTTTTTTTTTTTCCCCTTTGCAGGCTGTGTGTTTGCTATGCATCTTACATAATAAGCACAATTACCAAGACAGCAAGCATATTTAGTCTAAGATCAATAAATGCATTCCGTGCATAAAGACATGTCAGAAGCTTTTTTCACAAGCAGAAAGTTGAGAGGCAAATTAAAAATGACTCCCATGTATATAAAAAAAATGGCCTGTCTCTTACTTTTGGCCTTCTTTCTCAAGATTTTGATACATCGCACACTTTCCACACTTGTAATCTTATTTAGGATTTATAAGTTTCAATAGCCAAATGACCTTTCTTCTCATGGTCCAACTTGATGTGCTTTTCTTATTTTTGGCATCATTTTTTGTTTGACCTTGAGGAATTTGGGTGAAGTAGATGCATTCCAGATGCATCTCATAACATTAAATTGGGAATGCAGTTGATAGCATTGTGGAGGCAGTTTGCTGAAACTAATCTTAAGATATGGATTTCCTCCTCCCCCCTCCCCCATTTTCTCATTAGGACCTGCAGTCAGTTTCTTCTGGCTCCCAGAGAGTTCATTACCAGGTAACACACCATTGACTCTGCATGTTTCTCACCTTATGGTCAAAAGGAGGCCATGTTTCAGTCACTGTCTCATTCGGAGTAGAGTCTGACTTCACGCTGAGAACCCGGTGACCCTGTCTTTTTGATTTGCTCACATTCTCCTGGTTTTAGACAATGCTAGTCCGACAAAAGTTTGGACTGTGCCTCTTCTCCCAGATCATTTAGCAAAGGTTATATAGTGAAATGCTTTCTGTGACAAATCTGGAAGCGCAACTCCGGCTAGATCAACAGGGGCAGTCTGTTGGGTCACATAAGCAAAACTTAAGTTCAAGGGTGGGTTCTGCTCCAGGTGTCCACGCCACATCGTCCCACCAGCCCCCACTCCGTTCTCTCTCCCATCACTTTCACGATGGACGAGATGTCGTCTTGGTCCAAGGAGGTCGCCGTCAGCAGCCTGTGCCTTCTGTTTCTCCATCAGCTTCGGGAAGGATCTCCCTGCTGCCCGTAGCCATGGGGCAGGCCTTCCAAAATGTCATCTGGCTGGCCACCCCGGCCTTTTGACTAGACCTGGTGCACCAGCCTGCCTTTCTCATGGTGTGTCGGGGAGGGATCTGTCTGAATTTATAGCTCGTGCTTTAGCACCCGGTTGAGGCTTTGGCATCTATGTTGCTACACTTGAAACTTCCAGCTTAACATGTTTTCCCATAAACAACAAAAAAACACAAATAAAAGAACACCCTAACCCTTGCCACCTTCTATGTAGCTTTCACTCCCTGCTAAGTGATACCTGGACCCTCAGCCAAAGCAGCCCAATTTTGCTGGGGATTAAGGACACAAATGACCTAGGTACTCTTATTTGTGTGTGTGTGTGTGTGTGTGTGTGTGTGTGTTTCAAACAAAATGTCCCAGTCTTCCAGAGTCCTTTTTTTTCCGTGTGATTACAGTAGAAAGAATGAGAGTGCACTTAGGGTGCATTTACATTGAGAAGATATGTTCTACTTCTGAGACTTTTTTTTTTTTTAAAGATTTATTTATTTATGCTTGCAGAACTGGGGTGGGGTACAGGCCAGAAGTGCAGGGACTGTGAGAAGATTCACCGGAGGCAGAGTTGGGGGCAGAACAGGCAGATGGACAAAGTACACTGCTGAGGAGAGCAGCGGGCGGGTCAGGAGAGGTCTGTGGCGCCATGTGGGTCAGCTCCCTGGCCAGGGATCAAACTCATGCTGCAGGGCTTCAGAGAGCTTCATAATGTGGTGTTTTAACCTGTTGTGCCACCGGGAGAGCTGAGACTGTTGTTTTTTAATCAACCACTAAAAGGCAAATTTCACTTTACTTTTTAGATAGAGCACAGCATTCTTCACGTCACCGACCCTAGATAAGGCACTGTATGGGTAGTATCAGGCGTAATTTTAAGTTTTTTAGTGTGTCGTGCCTTTAAAGCTAGAACAGATTTTTTGCCTTTTAAGAAATGGCACTGGTAACTATAAGATTTTGAGAGTCTTTTTTAAAGAATATATAATTATTACTCAGGGACATTTTAAGTCTTTGCAATTTTATCAAAGTATTTCAAACATTCATTCTAAGTAGTTGAATCAGCTAAATGAACATCTTGGCATTCTGGCTCATTTGAGGTCACCAAGTTGCTGCGAGTTTCTCTATGTGGATTTTGTTTTCTTTTATTCTGTGCTTTCTTTATACCATGTTCGAACAGCTCTACAGAGATTAGGAAATGGTTGAGGCAGTAGCATGCGATAAAGATATTTATTTCATTTATTATTTGAGCATAAAAGCATACAGAAGGATTACTGGTCTTTTCTGACTATCTCAAAAGTCTTACTGTATTATTTACTTGCCGCCCCATCAAACCCTGGTACCGAAACTGCTGTGTACAAGCAGCACCTCAGAAGGTTCTGCACACTGCCCTTCCAGGACTCCCAGTGAAGTGATAAAGATGAGTGTGAGGAGCAGCCTCACCCGCACCCCTGCTCACAGTGTCTCAAGGAGTAGGGGCCCTCGGGCGGTGAGGGAGGCCTGGGTTAGGGGCCCGGGGGAGTATGGGAGTGTTCAGGAAGTATGACATCGCTTCCAGCAGGTGCTCGTGTCCACGTGAGACGGCGCTCTGCATGCTGGGAGAACTCGCCATGAGACAAGGAACATGTGCCAGGTGGTTGGAAAGTTGAGAATTTTTTGTCAACTCAGTAATTTGCGGTTGGTATTTTAGTTGACTATTTTTTAAAAGTAGGGAAAAAAAACCCAAGAGAAAAACGGCATTAGAACAGTCTCCAGGAGCCCAGTGCACCTTATTAGTGAGCCAGGTGGCAGCTTCTGAGCCATTTAAGTGTTTCGTTGCTTTGGTTCCTTCTTTTCCCAGATTCATAGTGAGTTGCCAACAAAGCACTCATGCTCAAAGGTGACACCTTGAGTTAACCTAACGAGGCATTATGGATAATACAGGAATGAGCTGGATATTTATAGCCTGCCTACGCCATCTCTGAAGCCAAAATACAAAGTCCCCTTCAGCCTAATGGCATCCCATGTAAGCTGTAACTAATAAGTTAGACAAGCAAAATGCATCGAGCTTGCAGCCTCAGGATATTCTTGAGCTTGGCAGATAAACTAGAATTCATAAAGAAATTGGACTCTGATTATCCACTCAATAAGATGCTTCTTGAGGCCACCTATTATGGAATGCGTCCTCTCTGCTCCTTCCCTGGACTTCAACATATCCCTTCTTTACTCCAAGTCATGAAGTTCCCAAGGAATAGAGGCAGAGGCAGTCATCTCAGTGGACTTTGATTGGGGGAAGATTTTTGCCCCTCAAATATGGGCCATTTGACAATTTGAACATTTCAGGGCATCATGGCTAAGAGAGATGGTCCTGCTAGAATCTGTGAGGTAGAGGCTAGGATGTTGCTGAACATCTTATAGCACAGAGACTTAGCATCAAAGAGTCAGCAAGTCTCAGACGTCAACAGCAAGGAGCTTGAGAACCCCAGAGCCATTGCTGTGACTCCCAGCGTGTATTGGGGACCACCAGCAGATAAGTATGAGGAAGAGGAGAGGAGAGCAAAGGAGGAGCAGAGAGAGAAAATAGTGATGGAAAATAGAAAGGCATTGATGTAGTGGACTAACACAAACAGGGCCAAAGAGATGTGGTTGCCCAGTAGGGCATCCTGGGTCACCAGTGCGGCTGGCACACAGGAGTGTGTCTTCCAAAAATATTCCCAGCTAGTAATTTGAGATTTTTATGAATACAATAGAATTCAGTAGAAGGAACAAAAATATATCTGTCCAGGCGATGCCTCTTCTTTGAGAGTTAATTGAAAGTAACACACGAATGGTTGGAGTAATTCAAAGTAAATGTTGTTTTCAAAAACTTTTATCTTTTGGGGTGTCTTTGACTTCATAAACAAAACTCTTGGCCAAATCTGAGTCTGCATTCATTTATTTCTCCTCAGACCCCTTCTTCCCCACACTCCTCCCTGACCATCTCTAGAATGTGGTCTGTGTTGCGTTCCAGCAGAGGCCCCGGTCCTGGGAAAATGGCATTTGCCACCAGTATTTGATTTATCCCCCTTCTCATCACCCTGACTGTTCTTACTCACTTCCTTTCACTGAAGCCTCGTCCTCTGCAACTTCTCTTCTGGATGCTAGAAAAGTCTTTCAGTGGATGGGTTGAAACAGGTATAAGGAAGTCATCCTGGGAATTAATTTTTCTTGTCTTACTTAAGGGGCAGGGGTGGTAAGGAACTTTGTAGAGTGGCTTTCATTTGGATGATCCAATCTGTCAAAAATAGCTGGAGTGAGGAACTTAAGGACTAGTCTGAGGTGAGATCTGCTTGCAGTTACAAGTGAAAGCAATACTGTTAACACACACACAACCACACACACACACCCACAGTTGTGATAACGGAGGACTTTCTCGCACACGCAGTAGGACTCTGAAAAGGTTAGGGTAGCTCTCATTTCCATCTTCTACCACAGCATCACTATTTCTTCATCACTCAGAGGTGGTTTTTTAAATGGCCACCCCATTTCCATTTTCTTCTGTTGTAAGAGTTAATGTAAAATAGATTTAAATAAGAAAGAGTCTTGAAGGATAAAAGTTCCACGTTAATGGGTCTGTTGACTGGGATTAGTGCTGGATGGTGATGTGTCAACACGTATTTCCAACCATCCCTAGCGGATCTCTTCATCACGGATACACAACTTGGTGGTGGATAGAGAAAAATGAATAAATTTTGATGGGGTGGGCATTAGGGATGTCAGAGCAGGCAGATGAAAAATTTGGATAGGTAAACAAGAGAGAAATTTAAAAGAAAATGATTATTGATTGGGCGCTCTAAAATGAAGCAGGGATTCCCAGTTCCAAGGGGCATCTGTATTGTCTTTGCTAACATCTTCCTTAAGTTTTATGAACGAAATAAGAATTCAATTCACAGTGAAGGTAGAGTTAAATGCTGGGTGAATACTGTTTAATTGGAAAACTTAGTGGAGTGTGTAATGGGTTGCTGTGCATTCATTAAATTATGTGTGCATCAGCTATGAGTAATTGAATGTAAATTAAGGGCACGTTTGCCATATATGTGGCCCGGATAATTTCCATGTCAATTTTATATAGCTCCTGCCAGCTGACTGACAAAAAATATATATAGCTATATGTGAGAGAAATATCAGTCTTGTTTTTGTGCATGTGACTGTTTTAGTATGAGAGAAAGGTATTCCATTCACAGATCAAAAACGAAAACTCCCATATTGGGGATTTTTGAAGTGAGCTGTATTTGTTGATACTATTCATTTAAAAAACATATAATTTCAGAGTTAATACATTTACTACAATAAGGACTCTGACATGTCCAAGGTCATGTCATTCTGCCTACACTTGTGAGTGATGAAAGTTGTACAGTTGCCTTCATCTAAATCATTTAGGTGAAGCAAAATAACAGATCCAAAAATGAACAAGTGTCCTATGTCATTGATGAATCAGGGGTTTGGTTAAGCAGTTTGAGAGAACTGAGGGA